CCCTCCCTCCCTCCCTACCTACTTACCTACCTCCCTCCCTCCTTCCCTACCTTCTTTATCGCCCAATTTAACATTACAAATAGCAAATCAGCCCACCAATTTTCGATGATATGTTTCGATCATAAAATATCAAAATCGAAGACAAATATTGGTTACGCGCCGAAAAGAATGGTAAATAAAATAGAGTTCATTTCAATGACCTCAAAAGTCAAGCACGAAATATTTCTAGGTCAAAGATATATCAGGGGGAAATTCTTTTCCTCTGTCCTCGTCCCCTTGAGGTACGGGATCGGGAAAGTCACTTTAACTTTACAGTCAAATAAGACACACACAACGGAATACGTTTCAGCTCTCGTCTTAGTCGGTCAATCGAGCACTATATAAGACACAGCGCCCTGGGGAAAAACGACTAAGTTGTAAGAAAACTCAAAGCACTGACGACGCCAAAAATAGTGACAGACTGTGCAGTGATCACGTGACTAAGAATTGCCGGATACCCGCAATGCGCTGATGTAAGGGAAGGAGACCAATTCACACCTAATACAATAGCCGTTTCTAGACCAGGGATAGAGGGACTGTGGTGAGAGAAAAAAAAAGATGGACCATCAGGCCATCATAATATCATCTGTACACACACAAATCGTTGTCGTTCATTGAAATTAACGCTTTCAACATTATGCACTGTGAACAGATCTTGTGGAAACTACTATCGTGGACGAGAAAGTTGCCATGATAGGTGTCAATTATCGCAAGCCTATAAAAGAATTGCGAAGGAATTCAATATCTTTCTCACTAATGTTGGCCCAAATCTTGCAACGAAAATCACTGCTACTTGTAATTATGGTCAGTTAAAAAAAAATAAACTCTATTTCCACCCAGTGTGTGACAACGATGTTATCGTCTAAAAAAATGTTAAAAACATATACAAAAAGACTTCTACCGCATAGGCAAACAGCTACAGACAATCCTCCATGATTCAGGTATTGTTTTAACGAATTATTGACAAGCAATTCATTAATTTCTCGGATAAAACCACATGTTATTAAAAACACAATTCGGACTCCGCAAAAAATATAGTACCACCTTGCTTTGGCTGACCTGGTCTCTGACGTAGCTGAATAAGTAGACAATGGCTTGTTTACCTTGGTGGAAGCATGGTGGAAGGTTAGTGAATGGAACAGCGCCAATAAACTTATAATTACTACTGATAAAACTAATAACATGGTTTTCAAAACACCACAAAAACCAATCGCCCGGAAGGGCATCTTAGAAATTGACGAGTCGCCCATAGAGGGCGTTTCATCTACTTATTACATGGGCGTTTCAATCGATCACCATTTTAATTTTAAATCTTACATCAACAAAGTGAATAAATTAATTAGCCCTAAAGTGTGTATCATTTCGCATATTTGGCTTTTTGTTATTTTAACGCACATTTCTTATTATTTTGAAATATGAGATCATTATCTCGAGAGTATATCTCTAAATTATACAACACGGTTCGCTACATCATCTTCTTAACAAGTAAATTATCAAATACATTAATTCAAGTAATTTAAACTTTGTACACCAATCATGTACCACAATCTATATCCTACTAATTAATTAATTAAACAATTAATTAATGTATTTATTTATTTATTTATTTATTTATTTTATTTATTTATTTATTTATTTATTATTATT